AATGAGCATAAAGCAGTACCAAATGAGCATACATAATTTACAAAATGAGTATCCAAAAATTCAAAAACTCATTTGTGTATGCTCATTGATTTTGGGTGTTATATTTGATATGTGCATCATTTCTTTGAGGCAAATACTCATCTGAGTTTAATATAAAACTCATTTTTAATGTGCTTAATGTTCAGTTGTGTATGCTCATTTCTTTTATGTGTATGCTCATTTGAGTTTAATATAAAAGTCATTTGAGATGAATAGCAGTAGGGATTCCTTTGTCTGCAGTAGGCTCGCTTTGTCTTCCGAAAGCACAATCTCAAACACCAAAATTGAATAAGAAAAAGAGAAAAATAGAAAAGAGTGAAAAGAAAGACAGAGGGGAGGGAAGAGAATCGGGTCTGTTCTAGAGGAGAAGGGGATGAGTGAGCTGCATCGACGAGAAACCAGACGAAACGAAGGGCCATCTCAGATTTGGTTTCTCCGGCGACGAAGCAACTAGACGAAGCCAAATCGAACAACCAGACGAGATGGGAAAAGCTGGTGCGAAGCCGAAAAAGAAGCGCAGAGCAAGATCGAAGCAGAAGAAGCGCAGAGCAAGATCGAAGTGGAAGAAGCGCAGAGCTTAAAAAAAGGCCGGTTGTACCGTGCGCACGGTACAGCCGGCTGTACAATAGAACTTACCGTACTACTTCGTACTTCGTGGATAGCAATTCTGGCATCTACCATACGGATCTACTCTTATCGACGCATCTTCCATGTCGTCTTCAGGGAGCTTCACTACGTGCATACTCGAAGCCTAATTAGTCTAATTGTCTAAGTCCAGGGGATAACCACGCCACTGATGCGGTGCCGATGTGTTTGGATGCGGGCGGATGCGGTTGATAGCGGTCGGATGCGGTCGGATGCGGCTGGTTGTGGTGTCTGTTGCGGTTCCGTCGCCATTTGGTAGCGGTTTTCTTGGTGATTCGATTTCACAGCGCTGGGGTGATGCGGTTGTGCCGCCCGCCGTTACCGCAATATTGCGGAGCGCTATTTGAAACACAGATTGCTGCAAGCACGGTTATGACAGTGTGATCCAACCATTGACGTCGTAAATTGTTCTCAACGACATCACCAGATGATGGGGTTTAATCCAACTACGAGAGCTAATTTACGAGAACAGGTGAAATTTAGGCAGCGTAAGACATTATTATTATTCCCGGAATTCGGATCCTTGGTAGGATGTATACATGAAGTATTTATAGACCTTAGATTCTAGTATTCTAGGAGGAAACTTATACATTCAATGCAATTAATTATAACAGAGTCTTGTAACGTCACGAACGTTGTGCAGTCATTGTTTCCCTCAGGTCCATGTTCCTTCCGTTATTTCCTGCCGCTACCAGATAGCTATGCAAGAATGATAGCTTGCCACATAAGCCCTAGGAAGGGTTTAACCTCGCTAGAACTCCGCCCAGACTCGAGGTTGATATGCTATCAAGCCTGGCCCAAGTGTGGGTTCCTTTCGCGGGTTGTATTCCTAATTAGGCCCAACGACTATTACTTATTATTAATCCCGATTCAAAAACAAGTTCCACATTTGACGTCACACATATTAAGAAAAGAAATTTGACTTTACTGTGGAGTGCACTGTTTGGCACTGTTTGGACACTGTTTGACACTGTTAGGAACTGTTTTGATGTAGATAATTTGCCAAATAAGGAAAGGTTTGAAAGTGGAACTTAATTTTGGAACTGCCCGAAAAGGAAAGATGGAACTTGTTTTTGAATCGGAGGGAGTATAAATTAATTTGCTATATAAGACACTGATAATTCGTCGTTCATCTCAATCAAATATAAAAAAATAATATGGAGTAGATTATAATATCAAGGAATTTATGATTTATTATATACACACATATGTATTTAGAAGTATATTGGTAGTATAATTAAAAAAGTATGAATAGTTATATGTTCAGCGGGTCAGGTCAGAGCGGGTTGTGGCGGCACAGGTCAATACTAATACTCAGACCCGCCCCATTGTATAGGCGGGGCGGGACGGACCCGCCCCATTTGCTAGACAGGACGGGCCAAACCCGCCCCAAAGGTCTCGGTTCCGGGCGGGTCATTGCGGGGCGATTTTTTTTACATGCCTTGTTAGATAGACTCGGACTGTATATATTTAATTTGGGCCGAGGGCTTTATTTTCTTGTACACCAACTTGTATAAATACTTTTGTATTGTGTTAATAGAAGGCAAGGGAAATATTTCACCCTAATTAAAAATATTCTTTCCCAACATGCCTAGCTATGGCTGTGATCCATGGTACCATCTCACTCATATTTAGGACAATATCTCATTCTTTGAATTCTTTGAATCTATGCACGTGTGTGTTTAATATTTGATTGGTGGATATCTACCTCGTTATGTAGCTACTTGTTCATATTGTGCTAATATATAAGCCCTTTTTAGCGTATAGCGATTCGCGATTGTTGAAATGGAGAGAACGCCATTGACTTCATAAGGAATATTTTTGCATATGCCGTAACTGATACGTAGCTCTAGAGGCTGCTATAGCTCATCGACAAAAACAACATATATATAATAATGTGTACATATATAAATCAATAGAAATGATCTTACCTTGTGAGTCCGGACTAACTTAACGGGGTTTGTTGTCCGGCCAAGCTCACTTCAGGGCATTCCGGGTGAATTTTTTATGAAAGTTTATGAGCATGTTTTTCATGAAATTCAATCGAGAAAGCAGTCAAATAAATTATTGAAAAACACGACGTTTTAATGTATATCTATATAAAGTGTCATGCTTTTCAAGAATTTATTTAACTCATTTTGGGTCGAATTTTTAATAATTTATTTAGAGATGTTCTACATTTAATGAAGAAAACACGATCACAAAATTTAATCTGGAAATCCATCAAACAGGCTTGGTCGGATAGCAGTTCATGTCAATCAGTGCTAACTCACAACTACCCACATCGGTGTTTTCATATGTTGAAAATGTTGTGCAATTTTTCCTTTGTTAACACTTTTAAATACTCTAAATTTTTCCTTTGTTAACACTTTTAAATACTCTGGTATATCTTTTTCAATAAGTAACTAAGACATCATTCTTCAAAACATATTCAATTCGATTGTGCAATCGGTTCTTCCGTGATTCCGTCATTCCTTCTTACAATGATTTGGAGTTGGACTATTGGAGTAAGAGTTGTGGCGCCCAAACTTTTCTTTTTGGCGTGACTTTTCAATTTTCTTACATTGACCCCCACTAAAACATGAATAAAATTATCTAAATAGGACTAAAACATGGATAAAATTCATAAATAGTTCTGCCAATTTTTTATTTCCAAAATAGAACTCAATAACACCTATTTTGAGAAGTTTTAATCAACTTATTCTTTCGAAGGGACTAAATAACTCTTATTTGGGAAATAAATCATGCGTAGTCTAATTTTTGAACTTTGTGTATGTTTTGATCCAATATTGAATAATTTCTTTTTTAAAATGGTGGTGCCAATTTTAAAATTTTACATATACCTATATGTAAATTATTTTTTTCAGTGGTGCCAATTTTAAATTTTTTAAAAATTATATATACCTATACATGAAAAATTAAATTTTCAGTGGTGTCAATTGACACCACAACTCTATATGTGGCTCCGTCCCTGGTCCTTGGGGAACATAAATAAATAGTACAGAGTACTACCTCCGTCCCAAAATACTTAGTCAAATTTTAAATTTGGATCATGATTTTGATTACTATAATAACATTAAAGTTTTAAATTTTATACTTTTATGAAAGTACTGATAAATATATGTAGTTTGTTAAAGTTTTAAAGATGGCTAAGTATTTTGGAAAGGAGGTAGTACATTAGTACTTGGTCAAAGCGAACAAAAAAAACTAATTACTCAAGTAGCCAACTAGTTCATTAGTCCGTTGAACTTTAGTCAATAGTGTATTTTTATACTTCCTCCGTCCCCAATAACTTTGCCAAGTTTGACCGTCACGGGGATTAATAAAATAAAAACTGTGTAGTTGAGGTTTGTGCAGAGGAGAGAGAATTAACTGGAACCACAAATTTTTTACTTAAATGGGAAAGTGGCAAAGTTAATGGGACATCCAAAAAAGGAAAGTTGGCAAAGTTATAAGGGACGGAGGGAGTACAAAATAAATTATTTTAATATAAAACGGATTTATTGAAGAGAAAAGAGGCAAATAAGCCCTCCAACTATTTGCAATTCTGCGCAGAATTGCAGAATTGCAGATACACCCCTCAACTCATTGAAAATGATGCAATCAGATCCTTTTTTACCTATTGGTGGGGGGTAAGAAGATGAAATATTACCGGCACCAGCAGGTAAAAAGGACCTCATTGCATCATTTTCAATGAGTTGAGAGGTGTATCTGCAATTCTTCAAGTACAGGGGTCTGATTGCAGAATTGTAAATAGTTTGAGGGCTTATTTTCCCCTTTTCTCTTTATTGAATAATAAGTACACTCATGAAGTACAAAAATATATACTCCGTAATTAACTATAACTCCCAATTCATTAAAAATAGAGAGAATTTCATACATAGAGTAAAATATAGGAAAAATTGACAAGAATAATCTCACCTTTCACTTGTCTTCTCATAATAATCCCACCTTTAGATAATTCCAGAATAATCCCACCTTTGCACCTCATCTTCTTTCATTGGACCCTGACCAAGTTTTTTACCTTTATTTGAAAATCTTATATAAATAATCTCACATTTATAAATATATAATAGAAAAGTTAAAGGTGAGATTATTTATATGATTTTCAAAAAAAGAGTAAAAAACATGGTCAGGGTCCAATGAAAGAAAATGAGGTGCAAAGGTGGGATTATTATGGGATTATCTAAAGGTGGGATTATTATGAGAAGACCAGCGAAAGGTGAGATTATTCTTTTCAATTTTTCCTAAAATATAAAGCATTTCATCAAATAAGAGTGTAATTATTTTCTTCCCAAATGAAAACTCATTGACTCTATATTGGAGGGTTTTTATTTTTATTCTCTTAATTTAATAGGAATAAATGAGTACATTTGGAGAATCAAAACGTACTTATTCCTGAATTTGTACTAGTACATATTTTACTCTTATTTTGTGTAATTTCTATTTAAAATATAGATAAAAGCCTAATACATTTAAGCAAAAAAAAAAATGACAAAAATAACAAAACTTTATGGGAGGGTGCAGCGCAAATGCGCAATTTGTAGCTTTATGAGTCAAGATGAATCAGTCAAGAGAATAGCAAATCTGCTTGAAGGTGGCCAGATTGTCTTGGAACAAAGGAATGAAAGCGTCTATGCTTCCATCTCCCATGAAGGAGGGAAGCAGAAATATCATTCCTTCTGTTGGATAGAATGAGGGCATGAAAATGTATGGACACCCCATCCCAAAATCCAAGTCATAAAATGGGAACCTAAGCCAGCTATCGACCTCTAGATCAGGACAAAGAATGTGCTTGTCCATGTCAGCTGTAGGAACAAGACCGGACTCGGCTTCCACAGAGTTTGCGAAATCTATGAACGATCTGAAATAGTTGTTGTTCACCTTTGCGACGGCGTCGTGGATGAGTTTGGCAGCGTAAGTTAGTGGCTCACGCAACAAGTCTTTAACCTTCGCGGTAGGAAATGCCCACAGGACAAGGTTACCGAAGTACTCGTTGGGTACTTTAGGGTTCAGACGTGCACGACCATCCACTGAGATTCTTATGTGGGTGCTTTCCAAGCCCGCGAGGTTTCTAGCCTTGGTTATCGCCCGCCACAGATGCGCGACGAGGCTCTCGAACGTGCTATAAGGCTTCGCGTTGTTGGGTTTCATGGTGGAGGCCTTGGCCTTGAGTTTGGCTAGGAACTCTAAGGTGAAGTGGACTTTATGAACCACAATGTCATCGTTGTGGATGCCATCTTTTTTATTTGTGTCTTTTGACTGAATTGTAGTGTATTCAGCTCCGACGTGCTCATACTCGATTCTCGGGGGGCTTCGTGGGACGAAAATGGTGCGGTCACGGTGGGGAAAGGGTTCGATCGGCCCGAGAAGGTCACGACAAGCCTTTCCCCATGCAACCAAGAAATTGCTCGTGGAGTGGCCATCGGCCACAAGGTGATGCGCGGTGAACCCGATCACAAGCGAGCCGCACGTGAAGCGTGTCAACTGGACTTGAACTAGTTCGGCCACACCCTTCAAACTTGGGTGAAGGTTGAGCAATGAAGGTGATGGCTTTAAGGGCATCACCTTGTTAAGGCTCATGTCACTTATAGCTTCCACGAACCTTACGCCCTCATCATTGAGTAAAATGACAGGTTTGCCCTTGTCGTCTTTGCTCAGCCGCCCGGCCCACTCCCTATACACTGAAAGAGTTTTTCTTAGGCCCATCTCAATGGAATCATTTGGAGGGGTGGGAGGGTGGTAAGCATAAATAACAGCCATTTGAGCATCATAAGAAACCTTGTCAAAGACACTGAGGGGTGTGTGGCTTGTTTTTGAAGGAGGGTTTCCTTCATGCACAGGTTTAATGATTTTCGTACTTTGTATTTTCACTTTCATGTTTTTTGAACAAAGTGGAGAACAGGGATTTTTGGATGGGGGTTTATATAGATCTGTTTGATATGATCTGAGTTTTGTTGGGAGGGGTTATGATGCAGTGTTCTATTATATATATAGAACAGAATCACAGAGACACAGATAACGTAGATAGCTTAACTTGTACAGTAAGTCAAAATACATGAGTTGGTTAAGAATGAATATAATGATGACTTTTCACATTCCTATCTTCTTTACGCTCTCTCAGTCTCCATCATTGTTTTGCCATGTACTCCGAATTTAGAAGATCATTGGAAGAAGAAAAAAGTGGTACGTCATTGTAATTAATTTAGACCCGCTCCCAAAATAAAATTCTCACTTTCTTTTAATAAATGTCTCAAAAGTTCACATTTTTATTTAAAAAAATCAGTTTTAAGCAAAAAGTCTCGACTATCTTTATTCTCTATCTATTTTTTGTGGATATGACATAAAATATTACTTTACATAATTACATAAATATGTGAGTGGTGTTGATCAAATCGGAAACTTTATTTTGGGACGGAAGAAGTATATATTACAAGAAGGATTAAGTGTTTAATGTAACGATCAGACACTTCGTTTAGATCGTGTCGTCAATCACTTTTTTTTTCATCAACCCGTCATTGTCAAGACTCGGGGTTTCATCCTCAACTTGACAGGAGGAGGAGTAACATGTTTCTTAATATAGCACTTTGTTGATTCAAACTTTTATAATGTGGGACTTTTACAAATTACAATCCTCCTAAAATGCGGCGGGGCATCCAATCAAACTCTTCACATTAACATCTAAAATTTTGAAAAAGTATGTAAGTATACATAGAGGTAAATTTAGTGCCCCACCGCTAATTATATTAATGAGATAATTACTAAGAGTATGATTAATAGGGATTGTGAATCCCAGCATATACTTCGTATAGGATTAAATATTGGTGACAACTCCGGTACCCATTTAAAAAATGGGGTACCATACCTAGCACTTACATGATTGGTCCAAATCATTAAATCATTTTTAATTTAGATTTAAATAATTTAATTGCAACATTGTGATTGGTCCAAGTGTACAAAGGTATGGTACCTTTTGGGTACCATAGAATCTACCTTAAATATTACCATGAAAACGTGTTTTATTGGTGCTATCTTTTCTCCTTTCAATTTAATTATTAGCGATACAAAGGCATATTAATCTCTTAGAAATAAATTTCTCTTTATTACGTACACTATCTTTACCCAACCTAACTGTTCATTATCTAGTGTAAAACATTTCCAGCATTTCTAGCATACGGAGTATTAGTTTTTAGTTCATTATATTGGCTAAAAATTTATATATTTATATGAAACACCCAGTATTACAGAGACATTTGATATTAATAATTATTAATTACATTCACTCCTAAGTTAGACCAAGTTTAATTTCTTACATTGTTGCAAAGGGTTATTCTTAAAGGCATCCTCATTGGTAGGATTATTATAAGATTAAATTGGTGACATGACGGTTTTTTAGAGAATTATCATTGAGTGACATAGATTGTTTAGTGGGATTATTTGCTACAATAATCTGGGATCAAAATATGAATCCGGATTATATATTTTAAGATTATTTGAAAAGTATATGTAATAGAGATTAGGGAAAAATAATTAAAATACCCCAAACTTTGAAGGAGTGTGACATAAACACCCCAAACTTTCATATGTAATTAAAATAACACAAACTTTATATAAAAAGTTACTTTAGCACCATGATTATGTATTATTTATTTCAAAAATGTAAATTTGTGGTGTTAATTGCATAATTCAAAAATGTAATTTATATAAAAAGTTACTTTAGCATCATGATCATGGTGCTAAAATAACTTTTTATATAAAGTTTGGGGTGCTTACATCACACCTCTTCAAAGTTTGAGATATTTCATTTATTTTTCTCTAACAATTAATGCAGGACAGAGAAAAAACAGATTATTTGAACATTATGATTGAGAGACATATATACACGAATTTGAAATTATTTTAAAATTAATTACATAACAATATATAATTGGTAAGAATCATAGAAAAACTGATATCATGAATGAGGATGCTCTAATAAGAATATAAATATAATTAAGATGTTATTGATTATAAGGTCAATCATTAATGTTGAGTAAGATCGTGATATTCATTCTTCTTGATCAGATACTGGGGTCAAAACCTGTATGCTGCTAGAAGCCACATTAATGAGGTCAATTTCGAGTGTTTAAAAAGCAGTCTTGAAAAGAAAATTTACTAGCTAGGCTTCTTTCTGATCATATAACAGTGAAAATAATAATGAAAAATGGATGCACTGCATCCGCTCAGTTTGGTTGAGAGATTATTAGTAATCATTTTAAAATAATTTTTACATTTAGATAAAATTGAAATAATTAAAGTGAAGATAAAATAGTATGTTAAAATACATGTTCTAATTAATTATAAAACTATTTGCAATCTAATACTACCTCCGTAACGCTAGAATCTTCCCGGTTGACTTTTTTGAGTCAAACTTTATGAACTTTGACCATTATTTATTCAAAACTCACATTATGTTATGATTAAAAATTTATTTTATATAACTCATTGTAAAACATATTATTTGAATGTTAATTTATTATGAATTTTATAAATATAGATATGTAGATATTTGCAGTCAAAGTTCAACTTAGAAGACCGTGAAAAGTCAAAATGGGAAGATCTTTATGTTACGGAGGGAGTACGATGGTACTAACAAATTCGTATAAAGTAGTAAAATAAGAGAATCAACCCTTCCCTCACTTGAACTCCAAAATATCTCAACCAAACTGGCCCTAAAGGTCGTCCTCAGAACTAGTTGAATAATTATTGTAATGATAAATTGAACTAGAATTGCAATCTCATTTGAATATAATACTTAAAAAGAATCGCATTACAGATGTTTTTTACTTGGACTGTTTTCAGTCCTAGATCAGATCGGACCAAACCATATCACACCAGATCAAACCAAAATATGATCAGTATATATATTTGAAATTTTCATATATATAGGTCGCTCACTAACTCGTTACTAATATATGGGCAATTGTCCTAAATATGATTAAACACGATTTGGAATTCAAAAATACGACTACGATGTTTTTTTTCTCCCGAAATAGAAATCATTATTTCCATGATCGAAAAATGTTACTTCCTCCGTTCTTAAATAAATGCAACGGTCAACATTTCACACTTGCCGAGACACAACTTTGACCATTAATATATACTACCTCCGGTTTTTTTTAATCTTCAGAGTTTGACTTCACACAAAATAAGGAAAGAAATTTGACTTTACTGTAGAGTACACTGTTGAGGCACTGTTTGACACTGTTTGGCACTATAGAGACACTGTTTGGCACTGTTGAGACACTGTTTGGCACTGTTTGACACTGTTTTGTTATAGATTTCTTTGCCAAAAAAGGAAATAAGGAAGTGTGAAGTTTATTTTAGATCGTCCTAAAAAGGAAAGTGTGAAGTTTATTAAAAACCGGAGGAAGTATAAATTTATACTACGTAGGTAGTATTAGTCAAGAAATTAAAAAAATTAGATATTGAAAATTTACAATGAGACCAATCTAACAATATTTTTTTCATAAAAATATATTCATAAATTAATAAATTAAACATGGTTAAAGTAGAACATGTGAATAGTGTAAAATTTCATATGTTCCATTTATTTAAGAACGGAGGTAGTACTATTAATGACATTAAATACTAACATGTTAATGCCTAAACCTACAACTATTTTGGTAGTAATAATGTATGACTCCAACATAGTTAGTTGTTGTCATATTACTCCTTTCGAGAAGAAAAATATAACAATACTATTTTTGGAATTACAAATATTTATTCCTAACTGTACTATTTCGGGAACATTGCCTTACTATATTTAACCAACCGGTATTCTGTTCTTTAGCCAAAGAAGCGTCTAGGTGCATTTGACTCGTTGTTTATGTCCACATTTGTTTTTGATTTTTAAGTAGTGATTCGAGGTTTGATATACCTATCCTTACTATTTTTTTTATCGTAAAACAGGAGGCGGCTTTATATCAAAATCAAGAACGCATACAGGACAATTTTCGGACTGATTTTACCGATCCAATCATGAACCCTAGAAGTAGACATAGAATGAGTCACCTCATACAAAGCAACCTGACTCGCTAAACCTGAAACAAGCAAATTTAAGCCTAAAACGAACAGATCTAAAACTCTGCTTATCAAAATAACTCCGAAAATCCAAACATTAAAACCAAATCCACTCTGACTAAAACTAAAACTAGCACTACTAAAGAGAAAATAATATTGCAATAAAATCTTTCCACAAAACTCTTCCTGGCATGGAGGTGATTTTGGAGGAGGATGAGCTCTTGCCAAATGTATGAATACAAACTTAGCCACCGTCGGAGACGGCCGACCAAGGCTTCATGATCCAGCACCGATACAAAATCTCATCCGCAATCCGTTCATCCACCAACGTTATCTTCTCTGACATAGGTGCAATCCCAAACATCAGAACACTTAAAATCAAAATAATCTGCTGCTTCAACACCATATTGATGGGGCAATGGAAAATCTCAACCCCTACAAAGAGGATAGACGGCCGCTAGGTTTTTAGAGAGAAGCCAAAGCTCTCCTCTCTCTAGGTTTTGCCTCCGTATACCTATCCTTACTCTTGGAAAACTATCAAAATTGTAACTAAATTAAATGGTATTTAAATTATAAATATGAGACATTGATTTGTTATTTTAAATTAAATGGTATTTTATATATTTTTTATATTTTCATGGGAAAGTTCCCGAAATAGTACTAAAAAAGTTTGAAAATTCCAAAATAGAACTGTCATGTTTTTTATTCCCAAAATAGGAGTAATTACTGCCAAGTTTGGAAAATACTGCCACGTTTGAAGTCTGGTACTGCCAAAACATGGCAGTAATTAGTCCTATTTTGAAAATAAAAACATTTTAGTCCTATTTTGGAATTTTCAAATCTTTTTAGTCCTATTTCGGGTAATATTCTCTATTTTCATAGGGTTTAATGCACCAAAAA